TCGGTTTTTGGTTCTTTTCTCATCAAACGCCCGTAGCATATTCTTTTTATTTTGATCGATCGCAATTGTTCTGTTCTTTTTCTCTCGCTGTGATTTCTGATCGTTTCTTCCTTCAATCATCATCACCATCACGATCGTTTTTCCTTCATCATCGTCTCATCACCCTCGCTGTGATTTTCGCGCGTCATCATCATCTCGCCATCATCTCTACGTCATCATCATCATCGTCCAGTTGGGTCTTTTTCCGGCGAGTTGCAGAAATTTCCGGCGACCCTGAACCAGACCGGCGAGCTCTAAGCCTGCTAGTTCCCTCCGCGCCGCGACCAGTCCCTACGTCACGCCGCGACGCACCACCACGCCGCGACCAGAGCTCCGGCCGCGCCGCGACCCTCTCTCCTGCCGCGCCGTGAAGATAGTTCCCCATCGCTGTTTGTGGTTTTTCCGACGAGCTTGTTGATTCTCCGAGCAGCAGCGTCCGGCGACTTCCTGACGAGCCCGTGAACCAGCAGCAGCGACTTCTTCCTCTTCCCCGTGCATCGAGCCTTCCTTTTTCCGGCGAGACGAGTTTACCGTCGAGCCCGTTCGGAACCATTCTCGCTCGATTCACGAGAACGGTACCTCGTTGTTTTTCCGTCTCGTTTAATTCATATATGTTTCGTTGAATTGTTCATGTTCGTGAAGTGCTCGTGTTATATATGATGTGAATTTATTATGTGAATTTATTATGTGAATATGTGCGATTATATGAATTGTTGTGATTGTATGTGTTCGTATGTTCGGGATCTCTTCGATTTTTTCAAAAATCGAACGAGACCTCGAAAGTCATGTAAGCCGGTGGATATTGGAACAATGTCGAGTCCTTGGTCTTATGAAAAGGCCTCGGACGAGAAATTTTATGTTGTGATTTAATTGCCAAGTTGTCGAGCTTGTAAATCGCTGTTTCGGTGCTCGAATTTTTAAAAATAGCTCGCTGCTCAAAACGATTTGAAATTTTGAGAGATGTGTTATCTGTCCATTGCCTGCCTTGTGTAAACTTTTCGTAATGTTTGGAGGCCTGTAGCTATTTTTTTATAATTAAATTGTAATCTGTCCAGAATAATGTTTAATGCATTAAAAATTCATGCCTGACTGAAATGAGCTGAAATTCGAATATGTCATGCCTCTGTGACTTATATGTGTTGTGTAAACTTTTTAGAATTTTTGGAGTTTATTTGATGTGGTAAATATTTTATTTATCGAATCTGCAGAAACGTTGTTTGAATTTTTATAAATTGGTTACTGCACGAAAAATTCTGAAATTTTACTGAGAGGCATATTTTAGGTGTTTAATCATGTTTATGAAATATGGGAATTTTTGGAGTCCGTTTTAATTCAGTTTGGATTTAAATTTGATAAACTGTTGTTGCTCGTATGAATTTTTAAAAATGGCAGCAGTTATCATTTAAAGCTGAGATTTTTATACATGAACTTTAGCATACTGTATGTTGCTGTGTAAAATTTTCAAGTTCAGATTCATTCATTAAGTCAGAGTATGAATCCATGTGCCCATTTTGCTGATATCTTGTTCGAATTTTATAAATTAAGATATTTCGAGTTTAAAGGTGAAACTTTGTGGTTTTACATGTTTCTGGAATATGAAATTTTGTGTAAATTTTCAGAGCTTAATTCGTAGGGTAGCTCGACCATCTATTTTCATGCGATTAAATGATTTCAATTTTCGAGCATAATTGTTATATGGAAAAATTTGGATCGACTTGCTTTTTGGTTTTTATGTGAGTTTGACTTGGTCAATCCTTGTGGATTTGTGTGAACTCCCTTACTTGGTTTGGTCAAGTTTAGAGCCGAGTCTTAGTGTTCCAACATCCACAGGACTTCACGAACTACTTAGTCGAAACGAGTTCGACTAGGTCTGTCTTGTGATTTCTGATTTAAGTCGAGATAGATATTGATTATAGGATCTTGACATAATGTAGGTGTCTAGAGGTGTTGACCTCGCCTCATTTCGGGATTTGTGATTCTGTGAACTGTTGCTGCTATCAGGTGGGTACATTTATGATGTATTCCATATTTATCGCACTCCTTATTTCGTGTAATGTTTTCTTTTGAAAATTGTTGTATGCATGAGAACTCTAGTCTAAGTGTCCCGAACGCTAGTGCCTTGACTAATGCGAAAGCAGTAGGAGGTCACCTGCCCGTTGTATCCGGGAGGGACGCCCCATGCCGTCGTATCCGGAAAGGGAAAAACATCTCTGCTGTCTCCTGGAAAGGATCCTGCGAACCGTTGTACCCGGGGGTGGGAATGTTTCCAGTTACAGCCATGCCGTTGTATCCGGAAGGTTGTTGTATGTACATAGGAGGTTTGCGATAGGGCTGGGTAGGGGGTTTAGGCTATGAATTCTGTGCATACCGAT